TGGGTCTGCTGGGCGGACCGGGACGTGCCCCAGCGCCTGCTAACGCGGGCCTTCGCTGGGGTCTACTGGGGGACTGGGATGCGTCCCAGTGCCTGCTGACGCAGGCCTTTGCTGGGGTGTACTGGGCGGACTGGGGCGTGCCCCAGCACCTGCTAACATGGGCCTTCGCTGGGGTCTACTGGGCGGACTGGGATGTGCCTCAGCGCCTGCTAACACGGGCCTTCACTGGCATGTACTGGAGGGACTGGGATCTGCCCTACTGCCTGCTAATGCGGGCCTTTGCTGGGGTGTACTGGGTGTACTGGGACTTGCCCCAGCACCTGCTGACACCCGCGAGCCTCTTTAAAACGGGCTGCAGGCGTTAGGCTCTAACTGCCAGCAGGCAAATGATCCAGTAACAATTCTCCATCCTATGCAGCAGGTTTCAAGTTCTCCTATTAAATAGTCCCCAAATCCACAGGCTTGGCAGAAAATACTGCCACTACTTATGAGCTTAACTGACATAGGAAAAAAAAAAGATATTTTTAAAGTTACTACTCTGGGTGAAACGTGGTTCTTAGCAAGGCAGAATGATGAGAATCAAAGGTCTGAAAAACACTGTACGTACCTGCGTGGCTTCTATGTTGATAACCTTGTAAGATAACTCCTCTGGTCTAGTCAATGCAGCGTGTCTTGATAAAAAACATGAAAAGAGTGCTTAATCTCATGAAGACATACAAGTAAATTATAAAAATCAGATTCTATGAGGCTCCTGCAGGCACAAAGTTTGGACAACGTTGCTATTCCTACTAGGCAAATTAAGGCATTGAGCCCAGTTTGGAGACTCTTCCCTGTCTTGGATTTTTTTATGCTAAGTGTAGAACAGCAGGAATATCTCTCTAGGTGAGATTAAAAGCAGGTAAAATCATTCTGCAGAAATCACAAAACAAAAAGTCTTGTTACCCTTGTACTCCCTGCCAGGAGGGGGCTACAGTGTTCAAGCCTCTCAGGCTCATCACCTCCATCAGTTATATTCTTGCCTCTGAAATACGTAGATGCATTTGGGGGAGAGGAGAACTGAAAGGGCTGAAGGGATGTCTCTGTTCCATGGGACAGAACTAAGCACAGATTGTCACCTGCTGCTGACTGCCACTGTCACGTGGAGGGAATGCAAGGCTGTGCATCACGGGACACGCCAGTAAGGGAAATGGCTGTTCTTGCTGACAGCTGTAATAAAAAGGTCAAGCCAGGGAAACTGCTCCTCTTTTGTTCCTGTGGGGACCATCTGGACCAGAATAACAAAATGCTAAAACCCCTGCTATTCTGTCCCTAAAGCTGTTAAGGGCCAGCTTTTGTCTCCAGGGCTGTCCACATGGCACTACAGCACAAACCCCAACCAAGAAGGATTTTAGCATACTCTTCCTCCTCGTCGGTTGTGAACAAATTCAGTCGAAATCCTGTCTCACTGCCCCCGGGTTCCTTGATCTCCAGACCTCCCAGCAGCCTGGCCAAAAAGTTCAGTTCTTCTTTAGCAAGAGGATTAGGGACTATATTCTCCTGCAGAAAACAGCAATGGGTTCATTGGTCAGGTTACCAGGGAGATGAGGACTGCAATAATTTTTGTGTTTTCTGATTTTACATAAATGTTCTTCAGAGTGATATAAATACATTTCTGTGTTGTTAATGGTACAGATTGTGCAGATAACTAGTAATTATCAGCTATATATTTAAAATGGTTGCTTGAATTTATAGACCCGGGACAAGATAATTTTCCAGCTAAATTGAACAGCTGAGAAATCTGTAAAACCAGCTTTCTGTTTTCTGGAGAGATTAAAATAGGAAGCAAGTACACCATTGCATAAGCCTGCATGTAAGATTCTTTAGGAAAACGTGCCCTTCCCCTAGCTCAAAAGGGACTGTGGAGGATTGGATGGGACTCCGAGAAGGCAACAGAACAGGTTCCCCTGAAGTTATTCCATAACTGCAGACTAAAAAGATGGTTATTGTTTCCCTGAGAAAGGAAATGAACAAAGAGGAAGATAGTGCAACTGTATAGTAAATGTTCTGGAGATGACAGATGTGGGTGTTTCATTCGGTGACCCCATCTATTAAGAGACAAGGGAAGCAGAATGTAAAATCTGGTGGATGTGGTGAAACTGCTCAAAGGAAATGCTCCCACCACATGTGACCGGCTGCAGGACTCACTGACACAGACTAGCTAGCCAGTTAACCAGTGACAGGAACAGAACAACACTGACCTTTGCATGGGATGCCAAGTTTTTGGATGATCCTGACATGTGTGTCTCTACTGGCCGACTAACACTGTACCTAGAGGGAAAAACACATGAGGAAGAGCAACCTGTTACTTGTATGAGATACAGGAACTGGAGGAAGCAGCACAGTATCTCCGATTTTAGGATATTTTTCTGAAGACTCTAAATAACTGAAATGAGAAGTTACAGTTCAGTTTTATGGAGTATCAAGGCACTAAAATGTGTGAGTGACAAAGCTGTAAGAACACTGCTCTCTCTTACTCTTTGAATGGAAAAATTACATTAAGACAAACATAGAGAAAAGAAAGGATTTCTTGAATACAGTTAAAATTAAATTACATTTCATATAATATGCAGTACCAGATGAGAACACTCTTTACTCAGCTCTACTGCAGACATAAATCAAACTTTTGCTCTTTTCCACAGCTCCTTATACACATCTGTCCACATGCGTTCTGTTTCAGGACATCGCTTTGTAAAAAAGTCAAGCTGTTGATGGTGAAAGGCAAAAATACATAAGGCTGAAGATGTGCTTCTGAACAAATCCATAACCATCACCATTTACTTAATGTTTCTATGTAGGACAAAAACTACTTACATATTTGTTCCAAGTTTGAGGACTCTGTCTCCATAAAGATCAAAAGATCCTTCCCTTTGTGGAGTAACGTAATTTCCATCAGTGGTGAACTCAGTCCTTTTAACTTCATCTCCATTGTGATTAAATATCCTTAAAAGCAAGTTATTATTGAAACATGTTTAGTACTTTTATTACTGATTTTCAGTACTGACTTCCTCTTCTTACTGCACAAGAAAAAGGGGAATAAAACCCTATTCTGTATGTTGGTGAATGCCTATTTTATAGGATAAATTACTAATAGCTAATTTACTGGAACAGAGAATGCCTGACACATCTTAGTATTTGATTGCTGGGTGACTTATTCCCAGATCCTGCCCTTTAAATAGTACTTACTGGAGGTTCAGCAATCCATGCAACATGAATGACAGTCTAAGCTCAATTCCTATCAGACCTCTGGGACTGACTTCCTCTGTGAGCAGTCATACATGCAAGGCACTACAAACAGTATAAACAGCAGTTCAGAACTCACCTGATGAGTCCTGGAACTTCAGTACCCCAAGGAACGGGGCCTGATATTGGCAGCACAAAGCGACCATTAGAGTTTTGCACTTTATCCTTCAGAAAGATAGAGACCTGTAAAAGAATATTCCACCTTTGAGAAAATCAATTACTTATCTTCTGATCCGAATTCTTTGAAGTCTGACCTTGCAGCCTTCCTGCCTAGACTGGGGTAGGTTTCCTAGAGATTTTGGTGTATATGTAGAGACTATGATACAGGCCAAAGCCAGCAATGTACAATTATGGTCCACAGGATGGGCATGCTAATCTAAAATTAAAAAAAAAAAATTATAAAAATATGCACTGTTAATGCACTTGAGTATGATCAATTTATTTAGAGAATATCAGGCCCCATGACTTCGAGCTCAGGTTCCAAGTTTCATATCAAGTTTCTTCTAAAAGAAAACACATATTTATCAACTAGCAAATCTGTACTAGTAGAGATTCCTTTTTTCATATAATTTTAGAATTATTATTGTAGTAGATGTGCTCAATTTGTGAAATACAAGCACATCATGATGACTGAAAAGCATAAGTAACAAACCCAAACCTACACTGTAATTATAACATACCTTCATATTCTAGCCACAAACTCCCTTTCATTCTTACTGACTAGTTGTATTGGGCTCTTACCCTTATGTGCATGTCCTGAAAAAAAATAAGGAGTGTTTGCCTGATGAGCTGAAATTCACCAGCAGAAAGACAGCTGTACGTCTGGAAAAGAAAAACCGTCATTTAAGGCTTTGCAAGCGTACCATATCCAACCCAGGTAAAGGTGGAAACAAGTGTATCACAATACTGGTGGCCAAAAATGGTACGTGTGGTAGGGGAAGCAGAAGTTATATAAGGAGGGGCTGCTGGTCATTAGCAGTAACTATTATCTGT